AGATGATCTAAATGTTTGGAAGATAATACACGAGAAGGGAAGATACGGCCAGGCTTGAGAGATGTACAAGAGTGCTTATAAGACGACGACATGCAGTTACAACATCGAACAAGATGAAAATGGAATGTGAATTTCTTCATGTCAATCAAACATGGAGTATCCGGACTGAACTGATCTTACTTACTCTCGAAATTGCATTCACAGAATGTGGGTAAACCCTCTCCCTCTATCCTTGTGCTTGAAATTTCCTCAATGAAATGAACGAGTCAACTTGCAAAGATAAGATGTGCAACAAATGCCTTCTATATTGTCAAGATATATTAAAGTACCCACTGCAAACAAGAGAGCGAGTCAACATCAAAAATTGAGACATGCAACAAACATTCAGAACCCACGAAAGTCTCCACCAGAAAGACCTGCGAGTCAACATTCAAATTTTCAGATATGCAACGAAACCAAGGTTCCATCTGACGGTTCGAATACGAAGAGGCCAGAAGGAGATTATACCCACAATGAAAGGTACGAGTCAATGTTCAGGTATGCAACAAAGGGTCTTTTTCCATGCTGCACTTCAGGATGTCGGGGATGTCCGCAATGTTTCCACAATTTAGAGAAAGAACTCGGGGTAAGATGGCGCGAGTACAAATACCCACCGATGTGTTCAAATTTTAGCGAGGCGTGCATCTCACCACGACTCAGACTCAGTTATTAGACGTGCAACAAAATGACTTCATAGACGGATGAACCAATACAATGCCTTTTGCGGCACAAAACTTTAATACTGTGAAAGGAACTCCGTTGTGTTGGATTAGAGGTGGAGTTAAAATGGTACGACAATTTGTGCCCTTGAGTCAGTCGTGAATGTGCAGTCGGCGGTCTCCGCCATGGCGTTTGTCATGGGATCTTAATTTAGAATGCATGGCCAACGGGTATGACCCGCATAATTGACAAGCATGACGCAAAGATGAGATGTGCAACAGTTGTGCATAATATAGATATGTACTGAATACTCTCTCTCATTGAGATCTGGTGACAGTTGATGAGAGGAAATTCTGAGCGATAGACATGCAACAAATTTCGCATGAATCGATGCTGTCACGGATCTATATCCATTTATGATCTTACATTCCACAAGAAGAAGCATGTCCGAGAAGGGGTACACCCAATATGGCAGAAATGAGCGAGACTAGGTGCCACGTTTTCCTTTGGAAATTGTTAGTGAGTAGAGCTGACTAGCCACCACGCGAAACTGTATTGATTATAAAATCATCACAACTGCCACGAGTCGTGGTACAAGGGGAAACCCTTTTGTGAGGCCCCACCATCTTAGATGTACGCTTGGATGGACTCACCCATGAAAAGGTACGAGGGAAAAAATACCCATGTTATTGAGGCTCTTACGCTTTAGCATATATATGCGTCGCCAACGTCGACTCAACGGTCAACTGGAACAAATCCAAGATCATAGAACACGACGGCCTTGCTCTCTAAACGGCGACTTGAGTTTATTGCATATCTACAACGGAGACGGGCATACTTTCCGAACTTGTCAGTATTCCCGTGGATTCTAGAAGACCGATATTGCAGGTGAGTGGTTGAAAATAGTTCATGAAGGATCGCCGAGATGTGATGTTTTCAACATTAGCGGCTGAGTTGTAAAACCTGGGGAGGCTTACGAACAACTACTGTAGCCGAGCCATATCCAAACAAGGCTGAGATGTGAGATCGTCGTGATAGAACATATTTCTTTCAGAGGTTCAGTGCTTGGTTCTAGTCTGCTGTCATGTTCCGTGAGTCCAATTCTAGATGGCCATAGATGACTTCAAAGCTTCCATATCGAAAGCTTCTCTTCTTTAGCCGGTTTCACACCCATTTGCCCATACACAAATCTAATCGCTAGGCATCATCCTTGGATATCTGGAAATGATCACAATTATACTTTTGATGGGAGAGGCAAATGACTCGCGCATGTCCTTGACTAGTGGGAACCTTAATTGTTAGATTCTGGCTCTCGGACTTCGTGGATGTTGAACCGATATCATAATCTCATAATAATCGCTTTTGCAATCCAAAATGAATTAGATGAGAAACTCGATGCTCCGTCCGCTATACAAAAGTCATTTCAACTGCTCGAGTTTCATGATCGAGTTCCATGATTAGGATTGTTTCCATTTGCTGAGGGTGGTGTTAGTCATCCAAATGTTAGTAAGCACGCTTATGCTCATCCCGTAGGAAGTTTTCATTCAACCATACAACAAATTGACAACTCATAACCACAACAGTACCGTAATGCGACAGTACAACGGTAAGAAAGAAGGATAGAATTGTTGCGTATCTCAATTCTCAACATTTCAACTCGTTCAACAAGTTTTCTATCGTTACATCCACTAGCTACTCGAGTCTCGAATTTCAAGCCATGATTCTTCCGGAATGGCATTGATATTCAAGAGCGACTGTCAATGTTGCACGTCTCAATTCTCAACATAACGCTTCGCTACTCAACCCCAAAATGGCCTTGAGATTTGAGCATTGACTGACTAGAGCTTCGTTTCCAGCACCTTTTTGAGCTCAGGGCAGATAGTTCTTTTTACGGTACTTTCTATCACAACGCAACGACAAAAAAGTTCTCTTTCCAAATTCCTTCGAAACGGTGATCATTTTGTTGAGAAAATCAAAACATACACAAAAATTCACAATCACTCTAGCATTGAACGCATTTTCATCTTCGGTACTGTTTCGACTCTTTATGTGTCCTGGTTTCACTTGGACTTCCGAATCCTAAGGTAATACAAACACGAAAATGGCCAAAGACCAAAGATGCCCATTCAACTTGGTATGGAGACAGCTTATGATGCACCGAAAGAGATCAAAATGTTGCATATCTCAACATCTGGGCATTTTCAGATCTACACTTGGCAATAATTCAGAGCTCCAATTACCAACACAAGCATGTCTTACATGACCATTCGGAGGACGAAATTGGACCCAGCCAAATGTGTACACTTCCCGTACTCCCTATTGCAGCTACAACTACCCACAATTAGATAATGAAGGCCACAGATAATTACCTTTGTTGCATATCGAATTATTTGCCAAGGGTGAATAGGGGCAATTGACAAGAATGGAGTTGAGTAAGGGCAGCCAATACGTCATATTTATTCCCAAGGTAACTACCCCTCTGTGACTTGGATTAGGTGCTCGGGAATTATTACATCAGTTTTCGTTGAGGTGAAATCACATGTCAACTCTTCAAGATATCTTGATATGCCCCAACCTCTTATCATTGGAGTTAGTCTCTCATGGCATGAGGGGATTCTCAATTGGAAAATATGTGGAGGTAGTTTCTGGATCTACACATATCTTCTACCTGCTTCGTTCTTACGTTCTCTCACCAGCACCAGCACCTCAATCAAATTACCTCACTAGTATCGAATCGTCTCACTCGCTTTCCCCTTACTATCAGTACTTGCGTAACTTTCGATCTCAACGATTGTACCTGAAAGTCTCCATCGGGCTTATGCATTACTTTCAATTGTGAATGCCTCGCTTGTTAGTTTTCTCAAATCAGAATTTACACATTGCTTCTACTTTAATCTTTAATATAGATCATCCTGAATTTGTTGCACATCTCAGTTTCCATGGAAGTAATGAGATTTTCCATTGCTTCTTTCATTTTTCCATCTTCCAGTGTGAGTGGTCATTGCATTTTTGAGTTTCGAGTTTAGGGTTAGGGTGCCACATCATAGCACGTGTACTTCATTAACACGTCGACGATCATGTGCACGACCCGGATAATTGGTAGATTCAAAGGGAAGACTAATTTGTTGCAAATCGTAAGGTTACCCAAGAATTTAAGGTTTACTCATCGCAAACGTTAATTGATGGAATACGGACGTAATGAAGTTCTCCAATTGCCGTTGGTACGGAATAATCTGATTGTTCCACGGATCGGTTATCACGGTATGAATATCAAATCACCGAGATTTCTTCATCACAATACTCCGTACAGTCAAAGCAATCGCCCAGCTCTGGAATTCTCGATTGTAGTCAGTGTCTTATAGACTTTTCGGATCAATTCATCGAATTCTTATGCCAAGGATATCATTGTGGTTAATTGTCAGATTAGCCGAACTATCCAATCAACCCCCCTTCATTTGAACTGGAAAGACTAGTTTCATCCATCATCAGAAATCCTTTGAAAGCTTTCCACAGTCTTTGTTGCATATCTTATAACCCATGGTAGCTTCATGATTCACTCATTTACCAAGGTGATCCCTGTCGCTGGATAAAGAGTGGGAGTTCTTCTGCGCGTTTAAGTCAGGTATTCGGGACGTTATTGTGTAAAGGCATGGCGATATTCTTACAAATCATGGGTGCTTTGTTCAGAGAAGCTCCAGGGTCCCTGTAAGTCGCTGCTTGTTATACGATGGAAGCATTAATCCTGACACAAGAGATTACCATTCTTTCCAGCCCAATGGGTACTTTATCGTAGGCTCCTCAATATTGCTCCATGCATTCTGAACCATTATTTATCTATCATGTGTACTAAACGTGGTGATATAATTTCTTCACGCTATCAGTATCGGATAGATCGCAGAGACTCACATCTCTTCGATTGGATAAATCAAAAGCTCTGGGTGTCTCTCAGGATGCTCGAATTTTCTTCTGGTAGCTAAAGCATTAGACTGTTGACAGCAATCCCATAGCAACATCCAGAACCTCCTATTGTTAAAGTGAGCCTGGGCAACAGTCATCGCCCACTGACTTTCCACGACTTTGGAATGTTCGCGCAGATAGTGGAAAGCCTATCACTGACAATATCAGTAATCTGGGTAAGCGGGGAATAGTATATTGCATCAACAGAACCATTACAATATAAGCAAGCATAAATGACGGCTTTGGTTTCCCCAAATATGACCAGTATGTGCAATGTTAGTGTATTCTATGATATTCAACTCTCAAATCAACTCCATTTGCCTCAAATGTATCAATACCACATCTCACATCTTATTATTCGCCTCTTTTGGAAATTCGATGCTAGTGAAAGACGAGTGATTAATTTCTCCCGCAGACCAAATGACTGAAAGATACCCATTGGCGCCCCCACTATAGCATACGTTTACGGTGAAAACATCCTTTGTGATAAGAAAAATTGGCCATATATATCTAGATATTACGAACCGTCAAAAGAAGACGAAATCTGTCTTGATGCTCCTCAGTCGGTGGAATCTTGGTTTCATGACTGCCTTGCTTAGTTTGGATACTTCTGCATATACAAACCTCGATATATGACTGCGAGTTCGCTCCCTTTCCTCCCATATTTGTAAGAAAAAGCGCCTGGAGCGAGGTCTTTCACTGATTTGCACTGGCGGATGGAAAATCCCGCCCTTCCCGCAGATCCGCCGAGCTCTCTTACTACTTAGTAGCTACTAGCTAGCCCATGCACACTGGAGATTCGATCGGCAAAATGCGAGTCCCAAATTTACTTAGGAGTTCCACAAGTCAAAATAGCACCAGGGAATCACCTCTTAGCTTCAATGGATAAGTCTTTGGGTCAATAATATTGTAAATTTTTACCGAATTAACATCTTCATAATGAATGAAAACACACATTGGTATTTAGTATACACAAGTGCATCCATCGGATACCGATTCAAAATGGCAAACCTCCCACGAAAGGGGCCGGATAACTAGAGAACCGCCAGAATAGCAATGAGAAACCTCAAAAATTCGAACCAAGTCTACGAGAATACAAAATTTGATGGTGTCGATTGAAAGCTCCACACAAGACAACGAGGACGACTTCTCGCATAATATTCTTCAACTCAAAAAGTGCAGCAATCAAGCTCTCGCAGTCTAGATGCACGAGCCCAAGGGCTCAATTGGCGATATCAATCTAACCTCTACCACTACTGCATTGTCAATCTTGATTATGATTTACGAAAACTATCATAATCAAGATAACCACTTTTCTGATCGTTCACTTGAACTCTCATCTCACATTCAGAACAGATTTACTTCTTTCCGTCATTTGCAAGATCATCTTTATCCACCCTAGAATTTGCCATAGATCCTCAGTACGGGCTATGAGAATTAGATCAAGATAGATCTAGACTGCAAGCCCAGAACCTGCTCGCACCACGTCTCGCTGTTTGCTTAAACCTAAGCTCAGTTTTCTAAAATACTCCACATTATTCAGAAATCCCCCTTCGTTTCTTCCATGACCTTGTATTCGATTCATCTAATGTATCTGTAAGGGGTTCGTGCATTGATCTATCTTACCACTCTGCAAACTGTGGTATTTAACTTCAAAGATTCGACTGCCAAGAATCTTCGGATGTCTTAAAAGCTTGCCAAAATCCCATCAATGCCAAACTCATTACAAACTGAAAACTACACCTTTGCCATCCTTCCCATTTAACTACTCGCCAGAGGTGCTTTTCTACGTCTGTGTATAGAGGAGAAACATGTATAAGTTGCTCATTCCCACAAAAATCTCGAATCTAGACACTTGTATGCTCTCGTCGTTCATCCAACATCCTCCTTGCTCTCAAAAATTAGCTGATGTCGATTCACCCATTTTCCAAACAAAGACAATGGCGAGATATTCAATACTCGTTCAAGAAGAGCATTCCTTTCTTGAGCTGATCCCTTTATATAATTCACAATTTCATTAACCTCGTTGGAATATGTCAAGTAACAACAAGCATGAAGATCCATGGATAGAGCCATAATTGAACAGTTATAATATGCTAATAAGCTAACAAACGCATGCTGTGATGTATCTATGTACTATATATGTGACTTGAGACAATATGAAATCCTTCCACCCACTCATCCCCTCAATATGTGCCCCTTAATATGTGCACAGCTTGTATCATGACGCATTCTTATGTAGTACCGATCCCCAATCTTACACCATTCCATACTATCTCATATCCGAGTAGCCTTCTTAAATAATCAGTTCAAAAAACAAATGTGTCTACCATCCTTTACCTCCGGCAATCTCCTCGTCAACACTTTCCCACCCTGCGAAAACGCCCTCAATCATCTTAGCCCCCAATCCTGGATCCTGAGATCCTGTAGTTGCTCTGATGCTATGCATACTAAGTTGGGGGATTCCGACATCAATAGCTCTAACGCCCATTGCAGAACTCAACATCGGTCCTACCGTACCTCCCGATCTAGAATCGTTTCTGATCATAAAAGTTTGCAACTTTTGTCCGCATTTCTCCGCCAATCTCTGGAAAATAGCTGTTGAGACAGAATCCGTAGTGGTATGACCATTACTATCTGCTTCAACTGTCAATCCTACATTAAGTCTAGGACAATGATTCTCGAGGTATTTTTCCAAGAAATTAGGATTTGTAGCATGTGTAACATCGAAGGAGACGAGGAAAGACTTCGCATACGTTTCCATCAGAATGTTGGGACTGTAGGTGGAATCATTAAAGCACTCCACAACACGTTCAACTGTTCCGGGGAGGAAATTGCCCCTTGCACCCTGACGCAAGAGCGAGCCAATCTCTTCGTCATCGAAAAGAGCAACCATGGAAATGATACCAGATGATTTGGAATCTTCAGAGGAAGAGTTGGAGAGCAGTGCCTCGATGGAAGACCAGGAACAAACTTTATCATCAATACGTCCTGAGAAGATAAATTCCTTGTCGAGCCCACCGAGTTGAGATGGCTGGGTATCGAAGAGTTCGAGTTCCCAATTGATGATGGTTTCTTTATTTTCAATGCCCAATTCTTTGGCAATAAGATTGACAAGTTTTGGTGGTTGGGTGGAGACAAATGAAGATTTTGCACCGGATATGTTTGATGTTTGAAATTGCTCGGATGATGAGGATGAAGTCGAAGATTCAATATCGGAATTATCGAGACCAATTATTGGTACAAGTTGTGTTTCCTTATTGTTCTGACCAAACATTCCAACACCAAAATGGGGAGCTAGAGTTGGAATGCGCGCAATCGGCCAACCCAGTTTTACCAATTTTTGAGATATGTATCCAGTTTTCTCATCTTTGACCAAAACTCTACCACCAATACCAAGATCTCTATCCCACCATGTTTCATTCAATGCGCCAGCATAAGGAGCAACTCCGAGCTGTACAAATCCAGCTTTATTGTGTTTGGTACTGATGGGCTTTAGACGAGCTGTGAGAGAATCGGAGTGTGCGGCAACCATTGCTATTCCATTCCCAGATTTGTATGCACCACCAACGGAAAATGCAATCAAGGATGTTCCATTGCGGTTCACGTAGTATTTTCCGTTGGGCGCAAGCTTGCCGTTCCATGAATCACGCGGAGAAAGCTATAAACAAGATATCATTAGCATTGGGCTTCTTGAATTCGAGTGTGCATTTGAAATCAAATGTGAAGAATCAGAATGAATGAGAGTTGCACTAACCTTGGTAAACCCAGCGTCCTCCAACTTGTTCTCCCAATACTGAATAGCATGCCAAACTGTTGGGTTCTCCGTCATGAAGTTAATGAACGGTTCTGCATATTCTTCGGGATCTTTGAGAATGGTCGCATGCTTTGCGGCATTGGGCGCTTTGGTATCAAGATTGCGAGGAATAAGAGAATCATTAGGTGAGTGGAATGCTTCGAACAAAGTTTGTGCACCACTCGTAGCATTAATTTCCGTCTCGGCGGATGGGGATTGGTAAGATTTTCTCATCTTCTCGAAGAGTGTCTCAATCTTCTCCTGTCCCAAGCGGTCTTCCGAGTCGATGGAACCTGGAAGGCCCCATGAATCACTCCCAAGGGAACGAATTGGTAGACTTTCACGGGCTGTGAAAGACTCCCCATTATTAGGGTCGGTAGGCTTAGAAGCCGCCAATTTCATTTTGGCAAATTCACCCATCAACAGCTCCTGGGTGACCTTCTCGTCAGAAGCAGTCTGTTTCTCCATGGCAGCTTTGTGAAGAGAAGCGCTTGACGGCTTATTCTTGACCATTGTGTTGTTGTTTGTGCCGAGGGGATTGGTCTATCTTGATGTCTGCGGTTTCAACAGCAAAGGAAGGTACCGGGAAGGTAGGCAGGGATCGTTAATGTGAGTTATTGTTTGATAGGAGTGATGTGATTAATGTCAGATTGATTCTGAATGGAGTATCAATACCTACCTAGTACGTAGATTCTGAACAGTAACAATGATATGAGAGTTGGGAGTCAATTGACAAAGATGGGATGTTGTGATTATTGTACTCGATTATCTATCGTTGTCTTAGATGTACAGCCTCTCCAATATTGAGCTACACCGATACCTAGTCTTGGCGATAGCCTTAATCCACATCGCCAAGTATGCACTGTACCTGAACCAAGAGATAAGATCTCACAATCGAGACATGTACCCTCCAACGTCAACGTCAACGTCATGTCAATTGATTCAACACTGGAATGTGTCTAGTATACCTTCACATCAATGATCATCGATCCATCACAAATTGATCAGCGCTTGAATACTGACAAAAAGAAGAGGAAAACAAATGCTGTTGGTCAAAATCCTTTTATTTCGATTGAGACTATATTCTGTGGAGAACCTAAGCTTCTGCCAGGCGGTATCATCCATCATAAAAAGCCATGCTTGCTATATATATATAAAATTCGTCATCATCATCGGCAATCCCCTAATTGAGACAGCAGAAATCCCATCAATTCATCATACTATCAATTCTGATACCCTCGATCGATTCCGTGCTCTCAATTGTTAATTTACCAGTTGTTGTTGTAGTTGTTGAAGTGCTCTGGGGGACCACGTTGGTTTCTGTAAGAAAAGGCCATGTTAGCAAACGGGCCTGAATGGGTGATAACAAAAGTAAATAAAAGAGAACGTACGGGTCATATTGTTCATCCTGGCCATAATGTTGATCATACAAATGTGTGGCTTGTTCCTCTGACTTTTCTCTCATTCTGTGCTCACGGACCCAGTCCTCACCCTTGGTCTCAGCCAACTTGTCGACTTCAGCAGAGGCGAAACCGGCGAGAAGCTCCTTAGCAAAAGCGTGGGAGACTGGCTTTCCTGTAAAACATATGAATTAGTACATTGATCTGCAGGGAGGTTCAAGAGCCAGGCTTCAAACATACCCTCCTTGCGTTGTCTGTCCTCGAACATCTTCATGGCGGCGAAACCAGCACCTCCTGCGAGAACCTCATGACCGAGACTGGCAGTGTCTTGGTTTTGGTATTGGTCGTAGTGTTCTTGAGATTCGCCTGTAGAGAATTGTATGTCAGCAGGCCCTTCATCTTGTTGCAAAGAGTATCAGAGTGAAGGTTAGGAGGTATGGAAAGATAGAAAGTGAGAGACGTACCCCAGCCGAAAACCATTTTGATAGATTTATTTGGTGAACGTTAAAAAGATTGAAAAGTGTGGGATGTAGTTGTAGATTGAAGTTATGTAGAGATGTAGAGTTGTAGTTGTTGATGGGAAAAGAAGAGAGAGGTTGAGGAGGGGAGATACGAGGGGTTTAAATAGATGGAAGTGTTACCGTCGAACCTTCACCCCTCTTTTA